GATAGATAGATAGATTGGTATGGGTAGCTATTTCAGGTTCTTTTTCAGGAATGCAAATTTATAACTTGCGTAGGAATAAAAATGTAATGCCTTAATCATCTTGGTGGGGAGTGGCTGCCTTCCCTGGAAATCAGCATTCAATTTCAAGGGAAGAAAAAAAACAGAGACAAATATAAAACTACAAATTCATAGCTAGGTAGATATGATGTGGCTGCATATTTTCCATTAACGGAGACCAAACAGTAGACGTGAACACTGTTGGGAGGTGTGTAATGTGTTTAAGCAGTGGCTACGTCAATGTATGTGACTGACTACATTCTGAGAGGTGCAAGAAGGGCTCTTCTTCATCGTTATAGCCAAAGAGATATGAAAAAAAATATTTTTCGCTGATAAATTATCCAACGGTATTATTGGTCACCCTGTATCTTTTGTAGCTTCAGAGGAATTACACTGGAGGCATTACTTACAGAGCAACTATTATAAATAAATAGGAACATATATATATATATATATATATATATATATATATATATTTTGTCTGACGATCGCAGTGGGTGTGAAACCCAAGATCACAAACTTACATCAACTATCGCTTATAATTAGCGCTTTCCAATAAGTACCGCGCATATATAATATATAAATAATATATATATAAATTGCATATATATATATATATATATATATATATATATATATATATATATATATATAAGCAACGCGCATGCTGAGCAAGAGACCCACAAAACACCTTCTAGGACCAAGGATATATATATATATATATATATATATACTTAAAAAATTCGGAGTTCAGCCAATGACGCTACCATGGTTTCAACCTTTACGTATTCTCAGGCGATCTTTGTTCCTTGTCCTGTTATTCCATCGGATTCCGATGCATATTTGATCTGTATTTGATATCAATTCATATATATATATATATCCTTTGGTTATGTGGATAATCCCGAGGTGTCCCTAAAAAATGAATATCCAAGTAAAACTCCTGGTAGAGAACTCAATGTATGAGAATAATAACAAATCATACAGAGCAATATAAATATTATACAACCATAGAGATTCATTTTCAGAAGAAAAAAAACTCAAACAGCTCTATCAAAACACTTTTGGAATTTAAAAGACAGAAGCTTTACACCTCAACAACTTCCAACCGCCCAACAACTTTAGGAATAGATATAACCTTTATTTTATATATGTGTGTGTGTGTGCGTATACGCGCAGACGGGCACATGGACGCACGCGCGAACGCACACGCATGCACACATATACTATGAAAAACAACACTTGCACCAATGAAAATGCATATAAAAAAGAAAAATCGAGAAGTATACGCAGTCAATTGCTGATATCCACTGAAGAGTGGACGTAGTGATCCCGAGAGTGGGTGGGGCTGGGTCCGTCTACGAAACTCTGGAGTCGGGATGCTGAAAGTAACATGAATCAGCTAAGTGGCAAACTTGTTACTTGTACTAATTCTCTTTCTTTCTTTCTCCCTCTCTCTCTTTTTTTTGTGTGTGTGCGCGTTTGTGTGTGCGTGTGTTTGTGTACGTGTATGTGTGTGTGTTTGTTAGTTTTTTTGTTCTCTTTTTCTTATACAGATTCCAGACGCCGTCTCAGAATCCAGCCATCCTGAAAAATTTCTTGCGAAATGTTAAAAAAAACTTCAAGTCGTGTCAAAGTTCAGCCGTTTATCCAAAAAAAAAAAAGAAAAAAAAAAGAGATGACTCAAATGGAACAAATATATTTGAAATGTGTTTATTATTAGAGGTAACACCTTTTTCGCATTCACCCCACATGAAGCCATTTATCTTAATTTTGCCCGTCTGGTCATAAATGGAGAAAGAATATATGACGTAATTTGGCGACACAGAAAATGGATCGCGTGGCTGTTTGTCGTTTAGTGACGAATTTCGTTCGGCAAAGTGAAATTTCTGTCCGCCTGTATTTATTTCTAGTCTGTTTAAGGGAGTAACCCGATCTCTTTCTACTTCGAATTGTTTACCACCCGTCGGGTACGAGACACTGGTCATTGTTCGAGTCTTTTAAAAACGATTGACGTCACATTCTACATCCGGCAGGGCCGGGTGGTAAGATATTCATTTCATTCAAGGGGGAATTTTTTGCCTTATACGGCAAGTGAAACTTTCCAACATCCTGGTTTCAGTCAAGCATAAAAAAAATCCCCGTTCTAGTTTCATTTGACCACATTAATCAGATATCTTGTCTGAGATTTTAAAAAAAAATGTTAAGAAATATAAACTAAAAATTCCGATAGATTGATAATCTTTTATCCACGGTTTTTCTTTCCGCTGTTTCGGTTATCCGCGATCAACTTCCAAAATAAACAATTCATAAGTTTTGTTTAATAATACTCCCGAAATACAAGTGTAGTCAGACTAGCAATTTGAATATGGGCCGGCGGCGCCCAGTCCTCACTTTCCAGCCCCGACTAAGTTCAAAAGAGTTTCCACGGTCTTGTGGGTGATGAACTGAGTCTATCGCTAGTTCCATAGCATATGTACGGTTAAAGTACATTCCTTACTTTCACCAGTTCAGACCTTCACAACTTAGACCCCACCATACTACATAGACTGAGTCAACTCATCCTCATTTCTTTCATATTCCATTAGTAAGGAGTAAGTTCAGCTGTGACAATTTCTTCAACTTATCTGTCCTATATATCCACATAATATACAATCTCCAATCCCTTCAACATTCCGATTTAATAACAATCTATATTGAGTGGTTTCACTGCCTTATATTGGATAAACAATAATTTTAAAAAAAAAGGACGTATTTTCTGAAACAACATTTTATTACAGCAAATTGTACGAATTGTTCTGCTTTATGATGAGACATCGTTGTTAATATTTTGTTTTGTTATAAGGTACTGTAGTGTCGAATTTATAAATAAAGATTTAAAATACATGTATAAAAATAATATGTGTGTGTTCGAATTTGCTATATTTATTGGTGAAGATTGCTCAATATCAAATATAGTCCATTTATAAACAGTAAGGACATAGAAATCAGCACTGTATGATAAATGTGACTTTCACGCCTCAAATGATCTTTAGACCATAGAATTGCTATGGTCTAAAGATCATTTGAGGCGTGAAAGTCACACTTATCATACATTTCTATGTCCTTACTGTTTATAAATGGACTATCTTTGATATTGAACAATCTTCACCAATAAATACTCGTAGAATATATATATATATATATATATATATATATATATATATGGAGAGGGAATATACACATATATACACGCATGCTGACAGAAACACAGGAAAATGGAAATAGATCTAAGAACACACAGGGGTCATTAAAACATTAAAAGATAAGATACTGATAGCTAATTCATCATTTCTCTTGGACCAATATTAATTGTTTTATGACCCTTCGCGCAGAACTCTTCACTGCCATTTCAAGAAAGAAATTCGGATTACTAACACATAAAAAGAAAATGTCTCATATCGAGAATATTTAACATTGAGAAACATAAAGGAGAAAAAATGAATTATTTTTAATAATATGTGGAAATCTCCAGCCTTTACTTGATGACGGTCGCGAGACCAGAAACACGTGTAGTAAAATTATGGAAAATAAAGCATAATATTTTTTTTTTAAATACACATTAGAACCAAAAACGTTTGCGGTTTCTCTGTTCTTTTTTAATATACACACTTTTCTCTCGTTGGAACTACTATAACCTCTTCCTTTTATATATATATATATATATATATATATATATATATATATATATATATAAACAAAATTTTAAAGTTGCATTAGCCTACAAATCACTCGATGAATGTTATGATCCTTGTTTTTAATAATTATAAGTTGTATAAGGTTTTTTTTAATACGCAAGTACTTTCAACTGTACATTCAGTCATCCTCAGGCATTGAAATTATTTTGTTTTTAGCAAAATCAAGGTATCATCCGAAACGAAAAATTGAAATGCGAATCGAATTTTAAATTATTTTTTTATATATATATATGTGTTTGGGTATAGAGTCTAGTCGATTTCATTTAGTTTCTTTTTGTTTATGTTTCCTTCATTTTGTGATAATGGAAGATCTGCCAAGGAATTAGTGACAGCCATAACGTTTAAAAACTTTTTCTTTTGTTTTGTGGGGGGGGGGTAATCAATTCACACGAATCAAGGCGGTATTGCACTAAGACACAAGTTGTTACTGAGAGTGAAAGAGAACGAAAACGACTTTAGAAGGAACTGAAAACCCCATCCTAAACAGGAAACAAATGATAAATCACTCGTCCTTTTCAAAAGACTGAAAAGGAATGTTAACCAGACGAACCTATCTACGCTTACAATGAGGTTTGGTGGTCAATTTATTAGCAGTGTATTTGCTATCAATATATTAGCTTGAGTCATAATTAATTTCCGGTTTTTGGGTAAGTAATTGCAATGACGAATGCATCATTCTTACACTTAATGGTAGCAATTAATAATAAAGTTGGAGTACACAAACATACAACAATGTTCAAGGCAAAAGGCATGGGATTGACGAGAACGAATTTCTATAACCATTCCCAAAAGGAGAGCTCCATGGAAGAAATATAATGTTGTGCGTTCAGTGGAATCTTCGGGTATTATTCATTAAGATTTTTCAAACGTAAAAACACGTCAAGCAGCAGCAAGATGTCCATAGAAATTTAGTTAAAAAGCGTCAATAGGGAGAATGTTGATTTCCTACCTGACAATGTATACAAATTTGAAAGTGCTAGTAATGGGAGCTAACCCTTTACCATTCAAAGCTCAAGGTTGAACTTAAAACTATTTCTAATACGGCACTCTGATTGGCTAACTATTGTCCAATCAGAAACCTTTCTTGGGGCCACGCGGTAAATTCGAACCTGAAATCTTCCTCTTTTGCAAAGTAACAGCCGTAGTGACGACGTTAATAGAAGAGAGAAACCAGAAAGCCTGAAATTCCATTTGTTCGTTATACATTTTTCTAGCAGTTAAGCCGGCAAATATAAATTATATTTGCAAGACTTTTATTTATTTGTACATACAAACTTTTTTACATTAAATTCATTGAATTTAATACTGTATGGTTGGTTGGTTCTCTTCTTTAAATGTGCCCGTCGTTGTCTTTGACTTCGTGTAACTTAACTGCAACCGAGGAAAATCTTTATAAATGCAAGGCTGCATTCCTTAATTATAACACAGAAAAGAATTTGGGAACTGGAATGGTATATTCTAACCCATGCGCCCTATACACCTGGCCTTGTACCATTCGATTATTACCTTCTTAGATTGCTTTAAATTGCTTTGATGCGGAACACTTTTCCTAATGAAAACGAAATTAAAGAGTTTGTTAAAAACTTTTGCACATCAAAATCTGTTATAGTTTTCTCTAAAGGTTTTGAAGAGTTGCCTGATTAGTAGCAATCGGTCGTTGAAAATAAGGGTGAATATAGAACTAAATAGAATGTAACTTTTGTGGAAGAAAAACGTTGAGAAGCAAAAACGGAAATTATTTACGGCTAAACGTAATAAATTTATTTTCTGTCGTAAAATTAACATTAATTCCTTACCAATCCATTTCTCCATGATTGTCATTAAAATTCTTACTAAAACTGTTTACAATGAATTTCTGTTAAGTCATGTGTCATGTACTTTTTACTGATACGCATGTGTATACGTTTATGCGTGTGTGTGCGTGTGCGTGTGTTGTGTGTTGTGTGCGCGTGTGTGTGCTAAAGGCAATTTGAAAAACTATTACTTTGAAATATTTTGCTGGTGACCCGACATCATCAGAAAAAGGATTTTATTTCACGAGAATAAAATTTCCATTAACGAGATAAAACGTGATTCACGTGAAGCAGCTGAATCCTTGATTTATGGAAGTTCGATTTCAGTACTAAATTAGTAAACCCCCCCCCCCGCCACACACACACACACCACCACCACGCTTTATCGTGTTTAGGTTTCGGCTGTGATAATATAGTTAGCAGATCTAGATATCGAATGTCCGAACAGCAAATGTGGATTTCCTAAAGGGAATAATTGAACCATGACTAACTGTAAAAGCCGAATGGTGAACGCACAGATGGTTAAAAGATGGGTGGGGGTATCAAGGATACAGGGAGTGCCCATCCGACTCTGCCAATAGGGAAATTTCTTTAATAAAACTTTCTCTTGTCTCATACGGTGGACATTACTTTCACTATTTGAATGAAATGTCGATTAGAATACTTGTATCCACTAAAATAAGCTTTATATATATGTATATATATGTGTGTGTGTGTTTGTGTGTGTGTGTGAAAAATTCAGGTAGAGTATATATGTAAAAGGACAATATGAAAAAGAAGAAATGGGAAACTTCCGCCCTCTAAGAGACTTTATCAAGGTAAATGTCAAAGGCGATCACTCACTCACACACACACACACACACACACACATATATATATATATATATATATATATATATATATATATATATTGTGCCATGGAGAAATTATCGCCATATTATATTTTTTTAATTTCGCGCATGCGTGTTGTTTGTTTTTGATTTCGTCGATTGCACAGTATAGTAGGGTTAGTTGGGAAGCGTCTGTGAGAAAATCCGCACATTTCGGAGGGTTTGGGTGTCAATCTGAGGACAACGCAGAAGATTTGGAGAGAGCTGGATGAGTCTCATGGTGATTACAAATGTACGGCAGCTTGGAAAACCCACTCTGGTCATTCTGATAAGAAAAGAACTCCCGAATTTGTTGGTGAGGGCCTCAGACTCAACATGGACGACTACATCAAGTGCATTGAAGAGGTAATTATGCCCTGGATCAAGAGGGTGGCTGTTGGTAGACCCATTGTCTGACAATAGGACTCTGCACCATGCCAGACAAACAGGAAAACCCAATCATAGCTGTCAGACAATTTCTGCGACCACATCACCCCTTACATCTGGTCACCTGACTGCAAACCCCTTGATTATTATGGGGGGGGGCGAAGTTGAGCGAGAAACAAAACTCCTTGTAACACCAAAGATGAACTGAAGGCAAGAAGGGTTGCATGAGATTCTGAAGTCGTCTGAATGCCGTGGTTGACACCATTGGCAATTTTATTGAATAAATTTACTTTTTAGTATTTCAAGATATTTTTGTGCAATTTTGGTAAATATATCTGTTGAAATATTTCATTTTTGCGTCATTCAGACAAAAATTCATCCATCGAACCCCCATATCCATATAATTGCATATATAGATATGCCATATGTGTGTCTACATTTGTAATATATATATATATATATATATATATATATATATATATATATATATATATATATATATATATTGATTGATAGATAGATATATGAATACAAATATAGGTAACTATACTCGTTTCGAAAAACCTTCGAATTTTTTGATTTGCCAATAATCAAATCAATCTCGAGGGAAAAAGGTTTTAAAAAAGAAGAGCTAGAAACATATATATATATATATATATAAAGGAAATATGTTGTAGTGGTTCCAACGAGAGAAAAGTATGTATATTAAAAGGGGGAATTTACCGCAAACGTTTTTGGTTGTAATGTGGATTTATTGAGAAAAATATTATACTTTGTTTTTTCTCAATAAATCCACATTACAACTAAAAAACGTTTGCGGCACCCTTTCTTTTTTTTATATATATATATATATATATATATATATATATATATATATATATATATATATATATATATATAATTAGATGTGCATACTTATATTCGACTTATATTTCTATTTTTGTAGTTGGAGGGGGCATATAAGTTGTTTGAATTTCTCCTTATGTCTATATCTTTATACATAATATATTAACTATTTTTTAAAAATTTGTTTATATTTTAAATACCCAGCCTACATTCTACGGACTACTTCACTATCATTATAGTCCGATATAGATGTATCTAAATTTAAATTATGTAAGGTCAGTATCAATCAGCACCTGAAGTTTGCGTTGTGCATGAAACACAGAGTTGTGCTACCGGTGACAAAAAATGTACGTTTATTATTAATATATATTGTACAGAAGCAACCATACATTTTTGGAAGAGCCGAATACAAAGACGTGATGTATATAGTGCATCACAAGGTCGCCAAATGTCGCTCCTTAAGTTTTGAATTCAGAGTTGTTCTACTCATGGACAGGTTGCCATTCAAGGCTATAAGACTCAGTCTGTTCTGTTATTTCCTATTATTTATCTCTATTTGCACGGAAGTGAGTGTCATAAACTCGACTGGAATTCGAACTCAGATCTCCAGTTTCCTAATCTGAACCGCTGTGGCCATGTTCATAATTAGACAAGACAACTGGCCCCCACATCACTCCGACAAAAGGTTAACAGGGACATATAAAGAATAGTGTAGAGTCAGTCTAATTTTAATACGCAACGTAGTCGTCGAGAACGTAATACTTGGTTCCTATGAAGTACATTTGTAATACATACGTTTAAAAGTGATGGAAGCTTTTATTATAAAAAAGAAACAAGAACTCAGCCCTTCATAAAAAATAATCCTCTTTTTTGATTATTTTGTCGCGAGTTATCTTATTTGGTTTTGTCTAACTTATGTTAGATTATCTGCGTAATACTTAAGTAATCAGTAATAATTATATACATAATCCACCATTGACCAGCATATATAGATAGTCGATCCAATGCACAATACACATGGCCTAAAGATTGCGTTCAATCATAAAACAGAATGTCGCTGCTCGGTGTTGACCACAGTGTTCACTTTTATATTCATAATTACATACTCTTTATCACTGATATTGTACACTCGTAAATATAGCATACCTTTAAACTATATGTTTATCATATATATATATATATATATATATATATATATATATATATATATATATATAAAACACACACAGAAATAGTCCCAGAATGTATCCCACCATTTTGGTTGGTTGGTTGGTTGGTTTAGTGGCATATCACTCAATCCCTATGGGTTATTTAATGCCGAAATTTAAATTTTTTAGTCAAGTTGATTTTAGAAATTCGTTTTTGAATCTCTTCTTTGGGAACTTTTCCGGACTCTCTTACAGCCACACGAATACACATACACACTCACATATGTTTAGAGAGAGAGACGCGGGGGAAGAGCAAAGTGTTTGTGTAAATCGTTGGCAGAACTGGAATTATGAGATATAGCAACACGACAAAAGTTACTAAAAGTTACAAAAGACAGGAAATTGTGGAGAGCCATGATTGCCCACGTCCCGAAACGACACGGTACACATTGCCTGAAGATTGCGTTCACGCATTAAACAGACTGTCGCCAGTCGATGTTGACATCAGTTTCCAATTTTGTATCTTATATTTAAATAAACTCTATTCCTGATATTGAGCCATTATGCCCATAAATATCATACTACGCCTTAAAAATATATTTTGACCCCATACATATATATATATATATATATATATATATATATATATATATATATATATATACCGACCTGACAAATTCTGTAACCAGAAATTATACATTTGATTCCATCCTGACAATGGTATAAAATCTAAATAAATATTTCAATACCTGCTTGTCAATGTATTTTCTACTGAGGCCTTGATCTCAAGTACGAAGTTGAACTAAGTCTGCTACAATGCAAGGATATTTGATTAGCCGGAAGACTCGAACTCACGACACCGGTGGATTAGTCAACAAGTCAAGAATGTAAATCATCACAAAGATAGACTAACCTTCTTACTACTACATTAGGCGTATATGCTATATATATATATATATATATATATATATATATATATATATATATAATATAAAATATCGATAGTAGTATTAGCACGAAGTCACAAGTCATTGTGACCGAGGGTTTGAGTGTGCTGGCGTTGTTCAGATTGTTGATCATGCTATATAACACGGTATCCCCCAGAAACTGCAACTAAGGTCTGTTCAGCATAGGTGGAGTATAAACCACATGTGGGATCTGTG